ACCTGATCCTATGCCACAATTGGACTAAGATGTTATAGCTTTCTTAAGCTTTATGAACAATAACTATTTCAACATTTTTTTTTTCAAATGTAAGATAAATAAGTATAAACCTTCACTCTCTTTTCCATAAATCTTTGGCAACTAAACAAAAAAAGAAGTTTCAGTTTGCCAATTTGGCCAAAACAGAGGCTATATGTCAGATATTTGATTCAAAATGATCAACAATTTTTCTACAACAAATATTATGATTTGTCTAATCTGGACAATGAAAACATAAAGCTCCACAATCCAAAAAGAATAAGAAAATTGACCAGACAATAAATTATATTTCAACTATACGTTGATTTATTCAATTAAACAAATTCACCAAATCAAATAGAACCCTTCAATCAAAAAACCTAAAAAGAGAATATAGAATTCAAATTGTAGTTATTATGATAGATGGGAGGAATCCATAAAGTTACATAGCAAACAAGAAAGTAAAGTCACATGAAACAAAACCTAATTTCCTCAAATCATGTAGACTCGACAGATAAAAAGCCTTTCATTTATATTAATAAAATCAAACAGAAAGGAAGCTTATCAGACGGGGCTGAGGAGCTGATAGAGCTGGGGTTTGGGATCGGAGTTCATGCCGATGATGATAACGAGAGGAATGAAACCGTAGTGAGTGATGACTTTAGCCTTTTTCATGGTCCATGTGCTCCACTCTTTCAAATAATCCGCCGTTGATTTCTCCTCCGCTGCTTTCGCTCCCTTTACGCTCTTGCCTTTGCTCTTCAGTGTTACCCTTGAACCCATTCTCTCTGCCTCTGTCTCTCCTTGTCGCTCTTTCTCAAGGCTTCGTATGATTATAAACCCTACCTCCTCGATTAAACAGCTTATAATGTTTGGGTAATTATTTGACCTCCCCATACTTTAGTGTAATTACAACATTCCCTATATTTTGGATTTTTTCTGAAACTGCTCCCTGAATTTTAGTATGATTTTAACAAAATCCATAGAAATATATGTTTGTTTCACTATTCTCAAAATCCAATCATATTCTATTTAACTCAAAATATTTAGGAGTGCGTTTGATTCAATATTTCTATCTATATTCCCAATCCTATTCCCCAAATATCGTTTGGCACATTATTTAAGAAATATTAGTGTATTTTTTTATTCTTTAGACCCCTTAAGTTTATTAATTTCATAAATACCCCCAAAAAAGTTTAAAAATTAGCAAAAACACGCCACCCGCCCATATTTGCCAGATTTCGGCAACCACCGTCATTGGTAGTCGGAATCTGTCACAACGGCTTACACCACAACTGAAAATGGTCGGTTATTCATCGATCTAGCCTTTTCCGACCAGATTCATAGTGGATCTGGCCGAAAAATGCCAGATCTGGTTGTTAACGACGGCCAAAGATGGACCTTTGCGGCAGTCGACGGCTACATCTGGCCATAGATCTGGCCTTTTCCGGCTAGATCCGTGGTGGATCTGGCCGAAAAAGGCTATATCGACGCGTTACGACATAGATCCGACCGGTCTATATCGTAACGCAATTTTTCGACCAGATTTCAACGGTGGTGGCTGGAATCTAGCATTGCGGGTGGTGGGCATGTTTTTGTCATTTTAGACAATTTTTATATATTGGGGTGTTTAATTAAGTTAGCAAACTTAGGAGGTTTTTTAAAAATTTTTAAATTTTACCTCGTAATACTCCTCTATTCAGCTACCAAATATTTTCTCAAAATCCTATCCAAAATAATAAACCAAACGCACCCTAGATTTTTTTAACTCCCTAGGTTTGTTAATTTAACTAAACACCCCAATAAAAAAAGTTTATAATGAACAAAAACACTCCCACCCACCTACATATTCTCGATAGCCGGCCATCGATTGCGGGTATTTAATTATAGAGGGTGTTTAACTAAATTAACAAATATAGGGGATTAAAAAATAATCTTATGAAAACACATTTTCAAATTCAAATCCTATCATTCTAATAAATTAATAATAACTCAACTCAACTTTTTCAAAAATAATAAAACAAACACACAGGAGATTATTGTTGATGTCCTCAAAATATGAATCGTTGACTTCCTTTAGGAGTGTGTTTATTTTTCCCACTTACATCTTAAATCTAATTAGAATTAGAGTTTAGATTATCAAATTATCACTTATTTTTAAAACTTTTCGAATTTCCTAGCTTAATTTTGAAATCTGAATACATTTTATACATAATAAATTTAATTACTTAAATGCCCCCATATGATAATAAGGTGACTTTTAATTAAAATATTCTAAAACTAAATTATGTAAATTAACATAATTAATATAGTTTCCAATAGTGGTTGTTGGAATAAATTTCCGACTATATTTTGTAACAATATCGATATTAAAATTATTGGCTCCATTTGGTTCACAATTTTGTGTTTTTGGGAAAAGTTTTTTGAAAAAAGTTAAAAAAAAGTTAAATTGGGCGGATATTACGATATAGGATTTATAAATTAATAAAATACCCATTATATTTATTTTTTTACAAAATACCCCCTATAATAAAACATTAAAAGTTAACAAAAACACCCCGAACCCACCCTCAAATACGGACAGCCGGCCACCACCGCCGGAGGGTGGCCGGAGTCGCCGTATCGGTGCATGACCGGCTGGATCTTGCCGGTCGTGCGCCGATATGGCCTTTTCCGGCCAGAGATCTATGGCTAGATCTGGCCATTGACGGCCAGATCTGGCCGTATTTGCTATTCAAAGACGGCCAACAAACGGTCGTCGTTGATGGTCAACGACGACCGTTTGTTGGCCGTATTTGACCGTTTGTTGGCCGTCGTTACCAACTGGTTACGGCCAAAGATCTGGCCTTTTCCGGCCAGATCCACCGTGGATCTGGCCGGAAAAGGCTAGATTAGCGCACTACCGGCCAGATTCAGCCGGTAGTGCGCCATCTTACCAGATTCCGGTAGTGGTGGTCGGAATCTGGTAAATGTGGATTATTGGGGTGTTTTTGTAATTTTTTAAAAAATATTTATAGGTATTTAATTAAATTAACAAATTTAGGGGGTTTAAAAAAGTTGAATAATATTATGAGTTTTTGAGTATTTTACTGTTTAGCTTTTTTGGGAATACTAAAAGTAGTATTTCCAAAATGCAACCAAACGAAGCCATCATAGTTTAAAGCTCTGTCTATCCCTACAAATTTTATTGGCAAAAGATGCAGCCTTTAGTTGAGAGATGAGTGATCACACTTGCTCAATTAGATCCCAGTCAAACGACACCTCTATTCCAACTAAAAGTAATATAAATAGATAGATTGGGAAAAAAAAAGGATGGTTTTTATACCAATTTAATTATTTATTATATACCAATAAAGTTTCTGGTCATCGAAATTCGACAGATTGATGAATTTTTCAAATATATAATTAATTGTATAGCTCAGCATAGTATGAGCATGAAACTGAGCTCAAAGAACTAGGCATCAACTAAGAAAAGTAATCCACCAAGAGAAAACAGAGAAATTTTAAAGATAACCAATGCTTTCAATATCTGCAGATTTCAGATTTCAAATTCATTCCAATAAGCTATTTAAGCTAAAGCTGCTAATACCCAAGTACTATTCATAATGTTCACCTCATAACAAATCAACAACCCATGCTAGAGAAAAGAACTACCAAATATGGAATCGATTCAGGTCGAGTGGTTGGGTCGGATAATTTCCAAATGCCATCACCTTCAACACCATCAGGACTATCATTTTTGGAAGAAAAAAAAGCCACACATAATCAACAATCAGATTATCGTATGGGTTAACATCGGGTTGTCTTTGAGCATGTACAATGGATTAACATGTAAAGAGACACCTAGAGCAACACAGAAAAATTCTTTCTTGGTGTGTTGTTTGGCTTTGGAAAGATTCTTGCCAACATTTTTTTTGGGTTTTTGTTGTTGGTGTTTGACTGTTGTGGCTTTTTGGGTCCGCCATGGAATCTAACTGGATGTCAAACGAAGTATTGTCTCAATTCTTAAACTACCATGAAAAAAATAACTCTGGAATCTTTACGCATGCGGCATGATCTTCTCTTCTTTTTCTTTTTTTCATTTGTTTGTTCAGGATTTCAATATTTTAATAGTTTTGAAAAAAAATTAATTATACAGAATCTTTTTTAAGTAGAAAAATGCGATCGGAAAAGCACCGAGAAAAAGGGAAATAATAGAAAAACAATGGGCTTCGTTGGCGATTGGGGGCAACTCCAGTGATGGGGTTTGGTGGGATTTGAAGAGGACAACGAGAGGAGTTAGATGGTGGTGGTTGGGGCCGACGGTGATGCCGAAATCAGCCCAGGTCGAGCTTAATAAGGGCGACTGCCTAACCTAAAAAATCTTAGATCCATGGCTATCTAACCGTTTACGGCATTGATATGGCCGAAAAATGTCATATCGGTGCATGGTGGACTAAATCTGGCCAGTCGTGCACCATTCCAACAATGTTGGCCGACAGTAGTCGCCGATGGTGGTGGTGGTGGTGGTGGCCGGCTACAGCAGTCCTCTTGGGTGGCTTGTAAATTTTTTTAAAAACAAGGACATTACTATCCAAAACTTTAATTATTTAGGGGTAAAATTGTAATAGTAGAGTTCATGTAATTAATTTAAAAATAAGGGCATTATTGTCCAAAAATTTTTATAGTGAAGGGTTCAATTGTAACAAAATTAAGATGACTAAATAATCTTAAAATATCTAAGCATAGTAATTAGATTACCTTATATATTACAAACAGTAATTATTATTGGTTTTGAAAGATTACCGTAATTTTATATTACTTGACAACCAAACGGATAATCAAGTAATATAAGATGACATTACTTGGGATTACCCCTAACCAAACACATCCTCAAGTTATATTAAGTTAACTATGGCAAAGTGAATGAAGTTACAAAAATACCATTCTTCATTGTTAACTTTAACTCTTCGATTGAGTAGCTATGTTGTTTTATTTATTTATTCAAAAGATTAACATGAGTAATTGCCAATTCCAGGTTCTAAACTCTGTTCATCACATCCACTAATTCAGCTTAATTTAGCAAAATTATACAACAAACTCTTCACAATCATATCATATATAATGTAATTACGACAATGAAAATCAAATTCCATCAACAAACGGGAGCCAAAGACTGAATGTAGGGATAAGCATCAAGCCATCCAAATCCCTTGCTCTTTTTATCATCATTAAAAGCTACCAACTCAATAAAACTTTTATCCCTCATATTATAAGATATTATCTTACCAGGAATGTGCAGCAACAGCGATGCATCAACTCCATATTTGTCCCCAACAACAAGAAGAGGCACAAACGCATAATAATTTGAGTCATCAACGTCGAGATAACTCCTCACCATCTCTGAATATATACCAACAACTCCCTCCAAATCAATTTCGTACTTCACAGTCCAATTACAATAATCTTTCTCCAATTGAAACACTTTAAATCGAGTAGCACGAGCGCCATAGATCTCCATCAGATGCAAATGGCCGCAACTTTCTCCAAAATATCGAAACCTCCTCTTGCTCCAATTGTCCAGAACAGGAAGATCAGACATCTTATTTAGGCGCTCGTTAGTAAGATCAAAATAAATCGAAGCACCGTGTGGGCTAATCCAAACAATTGATCCGTTCCAGAAAACGCCATTATCAAAAACCATATCAAATGGCGCAATAAAAGTAGATCCGGAGAGCCTCCATGCTCCAATTCGAGAATCGTAGATGTCGGTTTGGTAATAGTAAATTGATTTCTCAGTACTACTACGAACGCAAACTACTTTGTAATACGGTGATTTTGAAGGCTCGAAAGCTAAATTAACACCGAAAACAGCGGTTTTTGATTCATCAGTGAAGGGAGGGAGTGTGAAGAAACAGTTAGTGGTGGGATTGTAAACATAATATTGAGTTTTATAGCCAAGTTTGCGGAAACTAGAACAGAGAACTAAGCCATTGCAAGATTGCAAGTATTTGATACCTGCGGGGTCTGAAGCGAAATTGAGAGGATAAAAGAGAGGTTTGAGTGAAGAATTGGCGTGGATGGAGAGGAATTGGAACTCTGTCGGCGTTCTCCGGAGGAAGAGTCCTGAGATTGATGAGGAAGGATTTTTGAGAGTGTGAATACGAGAGAATGTGGAGGTGGAGATGAGAGAAAGCCAGGATTTTGATACGGATTTGAATTTGATGAGTTGTTTTACGGGAATTCGTGAGAGGATTTCAGTTAGTAGATCTTCGTTGCCAGCGATTGCTTCCGCCGAGTCGGAATCGGTACGAACCATTTTCATTCGAAACGCCGTTTGTTCTCCTCTTCGACAAGACGAAAAGAGTAAAGAGCATTAAGGGGGGAAATGGCCAAAAAAATTATGACTTTGAAGAGATGAGGTGGCCCAGTACCTAACATTTTATAATTTTTATTCATTTATTTTATTAAATATAAAATTGAGAAGTTGCTCTAGAGAATGAATACTTATTGAACTTGTACTGATTAAGAATGGACAGAAGTTTTGGTGCGATTATTAAAATGAGAAGCGTGAGAGCCCTCAGTTCAATTATTGATGGTCATGTTACTTATGTGAAGCAATAAATATTAGCTACTAGGTACAACCTCTCCCTCTTACAAAATTATTTAATCATGTTTCAGAGGACAGAGCCACCAAAGGTAAAGTGGGGGATTACGCATAGCCCCCACTGCTGACTGACCTGAAAAATCTAGCTAGGTGCATTTGTTTGGAGGTAATCCTCGTACTCTAATAATATTATATTATATTATTAATATGATATATTTGGTTGGAGGTAATTCTCATTATTAAAGTAACGTCATCTTATATTACTTATATTACTATATTTGGTTGTCAAGTAATATAAGATCCTAATAATATTTTTAAATCAATAATAATTACTGTTGATTATATAAGTGCTAATCTGATTATCTTTATTTTCTTAAGTATTTTAAGATTACTTGATAATCTTAATTTTGTTATAATTTCCCTTTAATTATTAAAATTTTTAGACAATAATGCCCTTATTTTGAAATTAATTGATACGAACCTTGTCATTACAATTTTACCCCTAATTAATTAAGTTTTTAAGACAATAATGCCCTTGTTTTTAAAACAAATTGCAAGCCACCCAAGAGACTGTCGACAGTCAACCACCACCACCGGCCAATGTCACTAAAACGACGCATGATAGATCGGATATGGCCAGCCATGCGTCGATATGGCCGTTTTCGGCCAGATCAATGGCTAGAAACAGCCAGATGGCCGCGGATTTGGGCTTGTTTTAGTCAAATCTGGACTTTTTCCTCTATGTAGCCACCGGTGTTAAGCCTGATCTAGGCTTATTCCGGAATCACCGTCGACCCTAACCACCACCATCTTACTCCTCTCATTTGCCTCATCAAATCCCACCAAACCCTATCACCATAGCTGCTCCTAATCGTTGACGAAGCCCATTGCTTTTCTATGCGATTTCCCTTTTTCTTGGCGTTTTTCTGGTCATGTTTTCCACTGGAAATCACCCCTACTTGCACCGATTGACTCCCCTTCACCTCCTCTTCAAAACCCCTCAAAGAACATCTCCATTGTACTTCCTAATCGACAACCGATGATAGTTTAGGTGACCGACAATGGCTTGGGTGGGTAGGGGTGTTTTTGTTAAAAATTAAACTTTTATGTGGTTGGGGTGGTTTAGCTAAATCTCAAATGTAGGGGGTTAAAAGAAATTATTTAAAAAAATAATATAATATTATATTAATATTTAAAAAGGAGGGCAATTTAGTAATCTATATAACATACCCACCAATTTATTCCTCCCAACCAAACATATCAATATAACATACCCACAACCTAACTAAACACATTTCCCTAAACATTCTCAGTAATCTTCAAGGTAATCTATCTTTCCATTACTATAACATTCCCAATAATACAACATTCCATAAACTGAACACACCCACATTATCATGTTTGATTGCCAGGTAATAAAAAATTTCAGTAATCTTCCAATACAAATAGTAATCACTGCATATTATATAGGTGGTAATCTGAATACCACCTCTTTCTTAGATATTCTAAGATTACTTGTTAATCTTAATTTTGTTACAATTTTAACCCTAAGTAATAAGTTTTTTGGAAAATAATGCCCTTGTTCTGAAAACAATTTACAAAAATATTCATGAACTATTTATCCTTATACACAAGATTTTTATGACATTATTACCCTTGTATTTCCACCAAATTACATCCCCAAATTAATACCCCCAACCACCCAAGACCACTGTCGGTCGCTGACCATCGTCGCCCGAATGGCGCACGACCAACCGGATCTGGGCTTTTTTGGTGATTTTTTCCTCTGCATAGCCTATGATATTAAGCCTGATCTGGACTGAATCTGGCATCACCGTCAGCCCCAACCACCACCATCTTACTCCTCTCGCTTTCCTCTTCAAATCCCACCAAACCTTGTCACTGGAGCTGCCTCCAATGGTCGGCGAAGCCCACTGCTTTTCCATGCATTTTCCCATTTTCTTGACCTTTTTTCAGTCACGTTTTCCAACGGAAATCACCTTCACTTGCACTGATCGACACCCCTTCAGCTCCTCTTCGAAACCCTGCAAAGCTTGATCGACGGCTATGCCCATTTCATTTTTGTCCAATTTGCCATTTTGTAAGCCTTTTTTTGACTGTTTGGACGGTTAGAAATTCACCCTATCACCACCTATCAAACCACCTCACTCTCCTCTACAAAACCATGTCCTTATTTTCCTCTACCGGTAGTGCACTGACAGTGGTGACTGGCGGCTGACTGTGGTCTTGGGTGAACGGGGGTATTTTGTTAAATTTTAAAGTTTTATTGTGACTGAGATATTTTTAGCTATATTCTCAAATGTAGGGGGTTAAATAAATAATCCAAATATTAAAAATAATCATAATATTAAAAAAAGGGCAATTCAGTAAAAAGCTTATCTCAACATTCTTTTATTCCTGCCAACCAAACATATTAATTTTTTACACCTATCAATTTATTCCAATCTAACCAAACATATTTAATATAACATTTTGAGGCCATTTAGCTTAGGGAATATTTTATTACATGTGCGTTTGGTTCATGGAATGTTGTATTACTGTGAATGTTATATTAATGGAAAAATGTATTACCTTGAAGATTACTAGGAATGTTTAGAAAAATGTGTTTAGTTAGGTTGGAATAAATTTGTGGGTGTATGATATTGACATGTTTGGTTGGGAGGATAAATTGGTCGATATGTTATATACATTACTAAATTGCTCCCATTTTTAAATATTAATATAATATTATTTTTTAAATCATTTTTTTAAACCCCTATATTTGAAATTCTGGTAAAACACCCCAGCTATATAAAAGTTTAATTTGTAGCAAAATACCCCACCTACCCCAAGCAACTGCTGGATGCTGACCACCACCGACAATCGCCGGAACGGTGCACAACCAGATGAATTTGGCTGATTGTGCACCGACCTGGCCGTGGATCTGGTCAGAAATGGCTAGATCTATTCTGACCATTAACGACTAGATCTTCCATAGATCTATGGCCGTTAAGGGTCATGTATCTGGCCGAAAACAATCAAATCGGTGCACAGTCAACCAGATCCGGTCGATCATGCGTCACTCCATTGATTGTCAGTGGTGGTTGGCCAACAATCGACGGCGGTGGCTAACAGATTATGGTGGTCTTGGGTGGCCTGCAATTTGTTTTAAATATAAGGGCATTATTGTCGAAAAACTTAAATAATTAAGGGTAAAATTGTAATGACATGTTCATGTAAAATGATTTCAAAATAAGGGCATTATTGTCCAATTTATTTTATTAATCATATAATGTTTTATTATAAAGGGATGTTATATTAATGGAAAGATAGATCATATTGAAGATTACTGAGAATGTTTAGGGAAATGTACTTGATTGGTTCGAATAACTTGATGAGTATGTTATATTTATATGTTTGGTTGGAAGGATAAATGGGTGGGTATGTTATATAGATTACTAAATTGTCCTCCTTTTTAAATATTAATAATATTATTATTTTTAAATCATTTCTTTTAACCACCTACATTTAAAATTTTCCTAAAACACCCCAGCCATATAAAACTTTAATTTGTAGCAAAATCACTCCCACCCACCCCAAGCCATTGCTGGCAGCCAGCCATGATTGCCGTTGCCGCTGGCAGTCGACGAAATGGCTCACAACCGAGCGTATATGGCCGGTCGTGTGTAGGCAAAGAAATTTTCGGCCATGGATCTCGTTTGATGGCTAAAGATGTGGCCATGAAACGGCCACAGATTTGGCCATCAAACAACCATGAAAACGGTCAGATCTGGCCAGAAACAGCCTTACTGGTGCATGACCAGCCAGATCCTGCCGGTCGTGCGCCATTACAACGATTGTCGTCGGCGCACAACGGTGGTCTTGGGTGGCTGGGAGTATTTTGTTAACTTTTAATGTTTTTTGCAATTATGGTGTTTTAGCTAATTCCTCAAATGTAGGGGGGTTGGGGATTGCTATTTGGTAGACATTTGAGGGTAATTGTGTCCGAAATGGTATTTAATTAAGGGCAGAATAGGTCTAAAAGTTTTGGGGAAAGGAGAGTTTAGGGATTATGTTTGGTGTTCGGGGGCGGGGATAGAGAAACTACTACTTGTACCCATACTCAAAATCTGCCAACCCTAGTTAAGGCACATATGGTGTCGATGGAGGCTAAAGCCAACCTCTAAGGTGTCGAAAAGGGCCAGTTCAGACCTTTGCCAATTTCGAGAGGCTAGTTAATGGCCTTTATCAGTGTCGGCTTGAGGCCTCCAAGCCTTTTCATAGTAGTTGTGAGGTTCTAAGCCTTTCATGGCCATTGCAAGGTTTTTGGTGGCCTCCAACTACTTTTGCAAGGCCTTCAAGGCCTCTGGTGGCTACGTTGAAGTTGTGAGAGTCATCAACGAGGGCAGTAGCAATGACTACACTATGCAAGTTCGGTGCTTGAGTTGAATAAGGGACAAAGTGTCATTTTTTTAGTTATGGGGGTAGGTTGTTTGGGTTGCAAAGAGGCAAAATGGTAATTTTGCCAATCAATGGGTGTTCCCTATCAGACTTGGACATTATTGAGGCTAGTAAGACATCTTGAGCTCGAGCTCCCCTTTTTGGTGTTGAGCTTGAGCTCGAACTTGGTACTATAACAGCTGAAGTGAGATTGAGTAGCCAAATACTCGACTTGACTCGATTCGTATATGGTCCTATTTTCAAAACTAAAGGGTGCTTAATGCTAATTTATGTAACACATGGGGGTTTACTTAATTTCCCATTTAGTCAAAAATAT